GCCCCACCGTGCCGAGAGCGGCCCCGCCAGCCGCGCCGATGTACCAGTGAGAGGTCGTCGATGACGTGCTGCTGCTCCAGCACCTGCAGCCTCAGGAACTCGATCTCCTGCTCGTCCCTGGTCAGGCTGAGGTCGTTCAGGGAGGTGTGCCGCTTCAGAGACGCCTGGGCCGACAGCTTTTCTTTCTGCAGCCGGAGGGAGGGCGGGCACTGCAGGGCTCGCCGCGGACAGCGCGTGCGAGGGACGGCCCGGGAGTGGGGCTCGGGGTGCGGGGACAGAAGGATGGGAGGGGTGACCGCCACCCAGGCCCCGGACAGAGGAGTGGACGGGGCCAGAGGCCGGGCTGGCTGTGCCCGCCGCCCGGAGGAAGGAGCGGGGAGGGCCGTCCGAAACGAGCCTGGGAAGCTGGGAGGGGACGGGGCGGAGGGACAGCTCGCACCAGCAACTGCACATGCACACCTGGGCCTGCTGCGTACAGAGAGCAGGGTGTTCACACTCTCGGTGCCTCAGTCTTCCCAGCTGTAAGGCAGGGTTTTTTTTAATACCAGTCTGACCAACGAAGTCAAGAGCATTCTATAAACGGCCAGCCACAAGACACCCGCCCTGACCACAAAGACCAGTCATCCTTGTTGGAGAAAAACATTTCTTACACAAAACATTGATGGCAATAGAACTATTATTTTTTTTCAGAGATGGGGGTATCATATGCTGTCCAGGCCGGCTTCGAGCTCCTGGACTCAAATGATCCTCCAGCCCTGGCTTCCCAAAGTGCAGGGGTTGCGGGTGGGAGCCACCACGCTTAGCCAATAGCGGAACAGTGACTGATTTCACGTACTGAGCGCCCAGCATAAACCTCTTTCCTACGAGGCCTTGGAACGCTGTCCCGTCATCCTGTGGATGATCCTGCCGTGCTGATATTTTCATCCCCGTTTTACAGATGAGGAAGCAGAGGTTCAGAGAGAAGGAGGGAGGTGCTAAGGACACAGCTCTCCGAACCCCTCCAGGCCCAGATGGCCGCAGCCTGCGAGTTCTAGGGAAGGGGTGAGGTCTGTGGACCGACACGGCTCCCGAGGCTTGCTGGGGAGGCAGGTGGCGGCGGACCCCGGCACGCGGACCGGGAGGGTCGGGGCGGGAGAATCCCAGGCAGAGCCGGGCGCGCCGGGGCTGGTGCCCAGGGCCCGACGCCTCACCATCTCCACGTTTTCCCTCGTGAGGTTCTTGATCTTCTCCTCCATCCTCTGGATGCTCTGCAGCAAATCCTCGTTCTTCTTGTTCATTCGCGTGTTCTTCTCCACCAGCGGCTTCAGCTGGACCTCGGTCTCCCGCGAGCGCTTCAGCTGCGGATGGAGAAAGACGCGGACGGTCAGGCCGTTCGAAGACCCCACGGGCTGGGGGGGCGGCGGCTTACGCCGGCAGTCCCGGAGCTTCGGGGGGCTGAGGCGTGAGGCCAGGAGTGAGAGACCCTCCTGGGCAACCACAGCAAGACCCAATCTCTACAGGTTTTTTTTTTTTATTAGCCAGCCAGGCTCGGTGGCTCAGCCTGTCATCCCGCGCTGGGGGAGGCTGAGGGGAGTGGATTGCCTGAGCCTGCGGGTTCGAGACCCGCCCGGGAAACTTGGCGAGACCTCATCTCTACCATAAATCAAAAATCAGCTGGGCATGGTAGCGTGTGCCTGTCGTTCCGGCTACTCAGAAGGCTGAGGCGGAAGAATCGCCGGAGCCCAGTGGGTCGAGGCTGCAGTGACCGGGAGCGGCCACTGCACTCCATCTGGGCGACAGAGTGAGACTCCAACTCAAAAAAAAAAAAAAATTAGCCAGGCATGATGGTGTGCATCTGTAGTCCCGGCTACTTGGGAGGCTCAGGCAGGAAGATCGTTTGAAGCTAGGAGGTTGAGGTTGCAGTGAGCAACGATCAAACCACTCTGCTCCAGCCTGGGTGACGTGTGAGACTCTGTCTCAAAAGAAAAGAAGAACAGTGGATGGCCAAGGTCACACCATGGAGGCCAGCAAAGAGTCAACCCAGGCCCCCTCTAGAATGGAGCTTCCGCTGCTAGGGGCCCCATTCCCCGGATGGTGCAAACAGCAAAAAGAGCACATCACGGGCTTCCAGTGGCAGTGCCTCCCCTGAGCCTCAGAGCCCCGTGCCAGGTGAGGGGGGTGGCTGCCGCCCGAAGGGGAGGCCACGGATCTGGCTCAGGCCACCCCACACTGTGTCCTGTGCCACCACACTCCCTTCCCTCTGGGCGCGGCCCCCAGAGGTCATGGATCACAGATCACGCACAGAAAGACCCCTCCAGGTACCGAGTTCCTGCTGGCTCCGTTCCCCCAAGTGCAAACCTAGCAGAAAGCTCAACACATCCCAGACAATACGTGAGCCCTGAGCCCCAACTCAGTGCCAGACTCAGAGCTGGGGGTGGAGATCCACATGGCATCGCTTAGTCCTCTGAGCAGAAGATCCCGAGATCAGCAGGGGGTCCTGCCCGCCTCCCATGGGCTCGGCATCTGGGAGCCCCTCTTGTGCCAGTCCCTGTACTGGGCGCCGGGTCAAGAATGACATGATAGCCAGGCTCGGTGGCTCAGCCTGTCATCCCGCGCTTTGGGAGGCTGAGGGGAGTGGATGGCCTGAGCCCACGGGTTCGAGACCCACCTAGGCAACTTGGTAAGACCTCATCTCTACAGTAAATCAAAAAAAATTAGCCCGTGGTAGTGCATGCCTGTGGTTCCAGCTACTTGGAAGGCGGAGGCAGAAGGATCGCCGGTGCCCAGCGGGTCGAGGCTGCGGTGGCCGGGAGTGGCCACTGCACTCCTGGGCGACGGAGTGAGACTCCAACTCAAAAAAAAAGAATGCCATGATGGGGATGCCCAATCAAAGCTGGGTAGAGGGCCAAGGCAGGTCACAGGGGCAGCCACGCTGAAGGCAGGAACCCCACGCCCGAAGGTTCAGAACAGGAAAGGGCCCGGCCCCTTCAGGGGGCTCCACGCAGTCCGGCGGGAACACTGCGTGCTGGGTGGTGGGACAGCGAGGAGAGCCAGGCCTGGTCTGGGGACATGGGCGGGAGAGCTTGGTCATCGCGTCTCCAGCCTCAGCCCCTGGGGGCTTTGAAGCAGAACTTTGTGGCCAGGGCTGCCTTCCAGAACTACCCATCGCTGGGACTGCTGTGTGGACGCCAGACAGGGAGGCGTGGACTGGTGGAAAAAGAGAAAAATCACAAGGGTGGGGAAGAAGAACGAGGGGCTGTACGATGAGAGGTGCCCACTACCCCCTCCCCAGGACAGCGTCCTTGGTGACGCGTTCACGTTCTCGTCGCACGACCGTGGGCGAGTTCGCAGCCTCGATCTCCTCATCTGCAAAACGGGAGTCATGCCAGACCTTGCCTCCTAGACTTGTGGCGAGCACTGAACGCGTAGGAGTACTCTTTGCGGGATCATTTTAGTGGACCAAAGCGAGAAACAACTTGCGGATCTATCAGTCTTTGGACAACCACAAGACCTACCACCACACCCTGCCAAGGGCTCCCCTTCAGCCCCCCCTGCATTCTCTCTCATTGAACCCTCACCGCAACCCTGGGAGGGGGCACCACCTCGTCTGCGTTTTATACACAAAGGACCTGAGCCCCAAGGAGCAAGAAAATGTGCCCAGGGTCCCAAAGGAAGTGCCAGAGCCAAGAATCCAACACAGGAACTGACTCTAGACCCCTGCTTGAGTCCCCAGGCTGTAGAAGTTATGGCAAAATATCCTGACAGTATTCACTGACATGTAAGCCCGCCATGTGACCCATACATTCTGGGAGCCCCTCTTCTGTGGAGGCAGCTTCTCGAAATCTACCTCCACGGAAACAAAGGCTGAGGTTAGCAAAGGCAGATACGTGTCTTCTACATGGCACTGTTGATAGCAGCAAAGAAATCTGAAACTGCCCGAAAAAAATAAGCCATTAGGAGAATGGCTGAATAAACCCCAGTATATCCACACAAGGGAGTACTATGCAGCTATTACAAAGACAAAGACAGATCTTTATGCCTTCATTGATAAACTAAGTGTGAAAGTCAAGGTGTATAACAACACCCATGGGGTAAAATTCCATTTTGTAACCCCTCCACCAAAAAAAAAAAAAAAAAAAAAAAAAAAAACGATCATAAAAAACTCGATGGGTGTTGATGTGTTTGTATAAGCATTAAAACCATCACAAGAGGCAGTTGCTCTCGCCCATGCCAGCTCTGGTGTGTCTCTCTTTCCTTCTTCTCTTCTTTCTCTATAAATTTTGTTCTAAGACTAAAAAAAAAAAAAAATCACAAGAACCACCCCCAAACAGTAGTTATCTCGTGATTTTAAGGCTGAAGCGTGGCCAGGCACAGCAGCTCACGCCTGTAATTCCAACGCTTTGAGAGGCTAAGGCAGGAGCATCACTTGAAGCCAGGAGTTCGAGGTTGCAGTGAACTATGACTGCACTCCAGCCTGGGTACCAGAGTGAGACCCTAACCCCTCCCACCCCAGAAAAGTTAGGGCACTGGCAAACTGATCAGTTTCTACTTTTAACTTCTCCAGTGTAGTCTGAATTGTTCCCAGCAGCCTGTACTTTTTCCTAATCCACTCAGGAAACTATTATGCAGCTCATGAGTATTTTTAAGCTCATGAATATTTAAAGAAAAGTAGAGATACAATATTAGATGTACAGTCTGATTAAGGCCATATAAATATGCCCTGAAAAGTACTGCAAGGAAATGAATTTATTGTGATCCTGTTAAAATTGTGAAAAGGTGATACTTGCTGACACTTTATACTACCCATTTTGTTCAAATAGTCTGTATATATACTTCCCTTTATAATAAAAATTAGAATAAACACAAAAATTATGAGGCATTTGTCAAGAAGCTTATGTATTGACTGCCACTACATAAAAATTAGTTTAGCTGTTTCTCCAGCAAACTTAAACAGATTCAAGAAATCGCTATTTTTACTGAAGATTTTTTTAAGCAGAAGCCCATGTTCATTATTTTTAAAATTATAAGTATAATGTCTTGTGCAAAAGAAAGCGAATAGGTAAGCAAAAATTTAAATTACCCATAATCACACCACCTAAAAGAACAACTTCCAGTGCCCAGAATGATGACAACACATTGTTCTGCAATCTGCTTTTATCATTTAATTTACTGTGAGTAAATTTCCATGTCGACTAAACGTGGTCTACATGCTCAATCTTAATGACCAAGCAGAATTCATCGTGTAAGTATTCCATGACTGCTCTGACCAGTGCTTCAGTATTGAACAGTTGTGGCTTTCTTGTTTTTCTAATTTGGGGGTTTTGGTTGCTATTATAAACAACACTGCAGTGAACATCCCCTCCACATTGCTCATGGAATTTCTCCACCTGTTTGCCAAGGATGGGTTCCTGCAGAATCCAGTGGCAGTAACACATGTCTTCAAGGAGCATGTGCGAGACCTTTTAATCAAAACAAGAAAGCGAGCCAGAAGGCCTCTGCGTTAGCTCTCTGTTCCGTGGCCCCAGGTCCCTTTCTTTGCATCCTGCAGGGCACCATCTGCCTCTCGGGGGCTGATTACCAGTTCGTTCCTCTCATCTGCCAGGAGGGTATTTCGGTCTTCCAGCTTCCGTATCACCGAATTCAGTTCGGCAATTTTTAGCTGAAATCGCCTGACATCACGCTCGTCCGTGTGTTGATCCTAAAAAAAGGCACAAGTGTACTCAGAAGAAGCTGGAGCGATCCAAAACCCTCCACCGGGCCTTCGTAGAAAAGTCACACGACGTGACAGGTGAGACCCTAATGAAGGGATGGCAGGCCAAGCAGCGAGGTGGGGCACCCCCAAGCCCTGCTGCACATTTGCAGGAGACTTCATCTTGGAGGCAGCTGGGGCTGTGAACCCTTCCGTGACTCCCCGGGACCTCCTGACGGAGCCTGTGCCCACCGTGCATCTGTCACAAAGGCCTCTCGTGTGCCACTCGCAGCCCCCAAGACAGGCTAGCACATTCCTCAAGGGCAGACAAGGCTCCGTCTTACCCAACGCTGACACGCCAGCACCGAGCACGGCATCCAGCAGACAGAATTCACAGCAGGCACTCGAACATCGAATGAACGGATGAGGAAACGGATACCTGCTGCGTCTGCATACCGGATGAATGCCTGGACGCACGCTGCGCCAGTCTCCTCTGGGCCTCGGCTAAGCCCCAAGCTGCCGACCTTGCCCGTGCCTTGGCAGCTGCCCCTCTCGCAGGACTCAGACTTCAAGTCCTTTCCCGCCCCGGGGGGCCCTGGCTGCACGCCCACCGGATCCCCTGCTCTGGCGTGTGCGCAGCTTTCTCCTCAACTGGGCTCCGAGGCCAGGGGAGGCAAAGGCAGCTAGCTCTCATCTCCATCCTCTCAGCACCTCGCACTTGGCCTGGCACACGGGGGACGTGAGTGAACCACGGAAGGGAGGAATGCAGGAGGGAGGAAGGGAGAAGGGCGGACGGGACGGGGACGGGGGAAAGGGAAGCGGACGGGGGAAGGCGAGAGGCCACCAGACGAGTGGAAGGGTGACCCGAAGACGGAAGAACGGGTGGGTCACCTGGGCACCCGCGAGCTCCGCCCCGTCCCCGACCCCAGGCGGGAGCTCCCGCTTGGGGCTGCTGTAGTGCCGCTCGGCCTCTTTGACCTGCACCAGCTGCTCGTCCAAGGCCTCCTTCTGCAGAAGCAGCCTCTGGGTCTGGCCGGCCTGCACGCCAAGTTCCTTCTCCAAGGCCAGGATCACCCGGTCTTTCCCTTTGATCTCATCCATCTGGAAGGGAGAACGGAGAAGCCGTCGGCCGTGGGCGTTCGCGGTCAAGGAGAGCCCCTCCCTGCTCGGGACCTTGGTGGCAGCTCGGTCCCAGGCCAAGCGAACCTGGCAGACGGGATGCCGAGGGACCGGCCGCAGTCCCGGCCCCAGCCCCGTTCCCCTCCCCCATGGGATGGAGGAGACAGAGCTGTGGGTTCAAGCCTCTATATCCTCAACCCGACAATCATGCCGACACGTGTCTAGGCTGATCTCGCTAATGAAATAGCACCCCGCTCGGAGCCCCTCTTCAGCCTGTTCCCTCCGCAGCTCAGCTTCCTGGGGGCGTCGGCTGTTCCCCGTCTGCAAGGCCTGCCCGCCTCCGCTCACCAGCCCGCTCCTTCCCGCGCCACAGCCCCCATCCCACCATCCAAACTGCTCTAGCGACAGTCGCCAGTGCTGTCCCAGCCCCCAAACCCAACGGACAACTTCCTGTCCCTACGTGCCCGACTCCTCCCCAGCCCCTGACACCGCCACCCGCTCCCCGATCCATGACCCCTCTCCCTCTCTCCACGATGGTGTCTCAGTCTTTATCTTGCTCCGGCTGCCACGAAAGCCTGACATTCCCAACGGGAGGCCTCTTCTCCCTCCTGCTCCTTCCCCCGGACAGCCACATCCGCCCCCGTGGCCGTCATCCCCTTCCATCTGCAACTGAACCTGGGCTGGTCATGCGGCCCCCAGCCCTGACTGCTCTCCGAGTCCAGAATCACAGAGCCAAAGGGTCGCTCGACACCGCTGCCTGGATCCCCAAGGGACCTCCGCCTCTTCCCGTACGAGCCTCCCCTGAAGCCCCAGCTCGCCCCCCGCCCAGTCCTGACCGGACTTTCCCGGAGGGGAGTGCCAGAGAGAGGACCCCGCCTGAACACGGGTGACAGCGGGGACGCCGCACTCAAAGAATGTGCGGAGGAAGCTTCGGCACCGGGTCACCCACTTGGACTTTTTCTGGACGCCCAAATAAGGGCATGGCACGGGGCAAATAGGATCCCCTCAAAACCCGCAACCTTCTGGAACTTCAGACTGTGAGCTGATTTGGAAGCAGGGTCATTGCAGATGCAACCAGTTCAGTTAAGACAAGGCCATACTGGGGTAGGGTGATAGGAGAGAGACACAGATGCAGAGGGGAAGGCCAAGGGGCGGGAGCAAGCAGCCACAAGCCAAGAACACCGAGGCTTATCAGCAACACCAGGAGGAGGACCAAGCCGGGACGGGTCCCCCTCTAGAGCCTCCGGGGCTGGGCTGTGCAGGCACCTCGGTTTCCATCTTCTGGCCTCCAGAACCAGAAGAAAATACACTTCAGTCATTTTAAGCCACCAAATGGGTGGTCATTTGCTAAGGCAGTCATAGGAAACTAACACAAACGCTGTCTTCTCAGCACGCTCACATAGAGTATTAAACGTAAGTGGATTAAAATCTGAAGCTCTTTCTTCCAAATCACATACCCTGAATTCAGACACAGACGCCACAGCTGAGAATATGGGTTAAGAGCCCTGTTGCGCTTCTGTAAAGCAAAAGAAGCCATCAAGAGAGTGGGGAGACAGCCCACAGAATGGGAAAAAATGTTTGCCAACTGTAGATCTGACAAAGGCCTAACATCCAGGATCTACAAGGAACTCAAACGCACCGAAAGGAAAAACAAACGAACAGCCCCATTCAAAAGTGGGCAAAAGACATGAACAGACACTTCTCAAAAGAAAAGATACGAGCAGCCAACAAACACATAAAAAAGTGCTCAACCTCACTCATCATCAGAGAAATGCAAATCCAAACCACATTGAGACACCACCTCACCCCAGTAAGGATGACCATCATTCAAAAACAAACAACAACAGATGCTGGCGAGAATGTGGAGAAAAAGGAACACTCCTACACTGCCAGTGGGAACGCAAACGAGTGCAACCTCTTTGGAAGACAGTGTGACGATTTCTGAAAGAACTAGAAGTTGACCTTCCATATGACCCCGCAATCCCCCTGCTGGGAATACACCCAGAGGAACTCAAGTCATTCTACCAAAAAGATACTTGCACATGCATGTTTATTGCAGCACTACTCACAATAGCAAAAACATGGACCCAATCGTGCCGCCCATCAAAACTGAACTGGATAAAAAAATGTGGTACACATACACAATGGGGTATTACGCAGCCATAAAGAAGGACAAACATATGGACTTCACAGCAACTTGGATAGATTTAGAGTCGATCATGCTCAGTGACCGCTCACAGAAACAAACAACAGAGCACCACATGTTCTCACTCATAAGCAGACCCCAAGCATTTACCGTAATGCCCTGAGAAAGGGAACAGCAGTGGTGGGACACTGCCGGGGGTGGAAGAGGGACACAACATCAATAAAGGCGCCTGATCTCAAACCAGGCAAAGCGGGGACCAAAGGGAGGCCCAGACTTTACTTGTACAATGTCCACTTATAAATCGAATCCTAAAGTGTACCCCACATCTTTAAAAAAAAGAGCCCTGTTGTGGCAGCAGACAGAGGCAAGCTCAAATCGCCACCCCCGCTTCCCGCGTGACCGTGGGGAGGCAGGGCCCCCACTCTGACTCAGCCTGTGTCCCTGCAGCATGGAAACACTGAGGAGGCTTTGGAGCCAGCCCTGCTGAACCGTTGGGGCGCTTCAGGCCAACCGTGGAGAGAGTTTAGCACAGAGGCTGGCACACGGCAGGCAAGCCTCCGAGCTAGCAGCCCCCGTTCATCCCTTTTAACTCCGGTTAGCACAAGCCCATCTTCTCTGAAAAGCAGACCACTAGAAACTGATGTCACATCATCGAGATGGGAGAAGGAGGGAAACGGCACCCCTAAATTCCAGACCGGGCGGCTTTCGAACTGAGTGCCATAGTGCTACAGATCAGATGTGGAATTTCTGTCACTTGCGACCATGAGAATCCTGACACAGGGTTCGGGAAAGACCAGCACACTTGACCGTGGCTCTCACTTTTCTCTTACATGCCCGCCTGAGCTAGGCTCGAATCTCTACTTCAGAGCTCTCTGAGGCACTTTCTTTAGAGGACAAAGGATGCTCTCCCTCCACACCCCCAGTGACTCCCGGGGCCCCCAGCACGGGCCTCTGGCGCAGCTCTCCTTTGGCAGCCGCAGAAAGTGCTCCCCGCTCCCCTGGTGATGACCCACCAGTATCTGCCTGCTTTGGCCAAATCCCAGTCCAAGTGCTCCAGCCTTGGAATGGGTGTCAGTACAGCCTCACTGTTGAGAAGGCTCCCTAAAGACTCGAAAGACCCCGTTTCCCAAGCAGATGCCAGCCCCACAGCAGCTAGAATGTGTGAGGAAGGACTCCGTTAACTCACACCATTCAGGCGTGCTTTCACGGACTCAACGCACACTGAGCCAAGGACCTCACCCGGCACCGGGCGACATCCTTGAGCAGGACGGACCAGATTCTGGGCCCCGGAGCGTCCATTCTGGGGGCGCCGGGGGGGCGGGGTAGACAAGGAACACGATACATGAGCAGACGCTGCAGGAGACTGGAGAGTGACTCGTGTTAGCAGGAAAAAGACGTGAAAGCAAGGGGACAGTCGTGGCAGGCGGGGGTGTCGCAAGTCGACAGCCCGCTCAGCCCAGGCAAGGAGGATTCCGGTCTGTCCCCCTCAGTATCTAGCTTCATGCGCGCGCCCCTGCCGCCGCCGCCGTTCGCTCCCCACCCCGAGCAACCCCGTCGCGTGCTGGACGCCTCCAGGAGCCCCGATGCCCAACCTGGAAGAGTGTCAATCCCTCGCTATCCCAGTCGGCGAGTGCGGAGGGCTTCTCCTCAGTCGCCACACAAGTGCAGGCACCGTCCAGAAACGGACCGATGGGCAGTGGGGGACACACTCAGAAGCCAACATTCTCTGCACCGTCATCTTTCCCCAGCCAGAGTCCTGCGGTTCCAGAGGGTGGAGACTGGCCGGGCTTGCACAGCTAACGGCGGGTGCCCTCACGATGGGCTGACTTCGTGTCTGGCTCCCAGGCGGAGCTCTTAGCGATCCCGGCCCCGCTCGCAGGACCCCGATGAAGCGGCCAATCACTGACACTGAGCTTCCCGAGCTTCCCCGAGCTGCTCACCTGTGTGTGCGGGACATTCCTCCATCTCCTCCCTGCCCCTGTCTCCCCTTCTCCCACGTCGCAGTCACAGCAAGTGGCTTAAGAGAGGGGTGGGGCTGGGACCTCTCCAGGCTCCCAGGGCAGTTCCTGATTAGCTCAGGCCACCCCACGCCCCCTCCTCCTGACAGTAATTGGTTCAGGGATGGACTCGGGACCCAATCGGAGCCAGTGGCCTGAAGAGGGTGTCCCCAGGGCCCTCCTGCCTTTCCTCAGCAGTTAAGAAAGAGACTGCAGGACGTGTGGTGTAATAGGATGTAGGATCCGGCACGGCGGTGGCGTCTCGCCAGCCCAACGTGAGAGCCCACTGCCTGAGAACGACAGCAGGAAGCCGAGCAGAGCCTGAGAAACCCAGATGCTGGGAGACTTCATGCGTGCCCTTAAAGCTGTCCCTGGAGCTCCTCTTACAACTTCACAGCTCCAAGAGCCAACAGACTGTCACGGCAGACGCCGGTTTGATGTGGAATTTCTGTCACTTGCCACCAAAAGTATCCTAATCCACTCAGAGCTCAGGAAACAACAACACACTTGGCCATGGCTCTCATTTCTCTCTTACAAGCTAGTGTGAGCCAGGTACTTAAGAGACACTCTCTTGTCAGGTGCAGTGATTCATGCCTGTAAACCCAGAACTTTGGGAGGCAGAGGCAGGAGGGCCGCTTGAGCCCAGGAGTTCAAGACCAGCCTGGGCAACACAGCAAGACTCCATCTCTATATAAGATAAAATAAAATAAATGATCTGGGTGTGGTGGCGTGCACCTGTAGTCCCAGCAACTCAGGAGGCTGATGCAGGAGGATCCCTTGTCCCAGCAGTTGGAGGCTGTAGCGAGCCATGATTGTGTCACTGTGCTCCAGGCTGAGTG